GTCTTAAGAAGCTAATACGGCTCTGTGATTGGTTAAAAACACATTAAGGGTATATCGGACTATGAATACCGGCCTGAACCTCCCATTGAATAAGCTGAAGCTTGTGAAGAGAGAGAGAGAGGGGGGGAAGATTTAAGAAGACTTTCTTTGTCTTACACCATTGTAAAAGAAGAGAATCGTGCCTGCGCAGTACTACACAGGCGTGATTCTCCCTTGTCACGATAGTGAGACAGAGAAAAAAAGTCTTCTTAAATCATCTTCTCTGTCTGTGCATGCGGCCGTCCCGCGATCGGCGTTGCTAGGCGCGCGGGGAATTGTCTATGACACACGGCAAGGGCTACGTATAATAAACAACTCCCCGTGCGCCTAGCAACGCCGATTGCGGGACGGCCGCATCTCGCAGCGCGCTTTAATTGGATGGCAGGCCGGGCTGAGATAGCGATTCTTAATAATTAATAACTCGTTAACTATTGCAAAAATTGCAAAATGGTGGAGGACTTTTCGACTCATTGTCAGTCTAGTCCGCTCTATCCGTAAATAAGAGGTAAGGCAGGTATTACATAAGACCCTGTATTATAAGGTAGTATTTTACCTACAAGGTGTACCAATATTACCTGCTATAATAATTGTAATTTTACGTGTAATTTTTTTACAGTGTATAATAACTAAGAATATGACGCTGTAGTCAATGTAAGATTCTAAAACATTCTTTTCAAAAGAGAGAGAGAGAGAGAGAGAGGAAAGTTCTCTTTTCTTCTGAAAAGAGAAAAGATACGTTGTGTGCAAAGTTTCTCAGTGTTGTACAAGTTATTTTATACAATTGCGTTACGCTTCGGTTCTTATGTAATATGATATAAATATAACAATTGCCTCGTCCTCTTTTAATTCGGACTTTAACGGAACCTGATTATTGAACGGTCAGGGCCCTAAGTGAAAAAGGTCCACGAGACGTCTGAGAACTTGGAAAGATCATCGGAGGCGTGAAGCGTCACTTGTATAGACGTTTCTAGGCATTTGTGTAGTCTGGGGTTTCCCTAAGCCCCTTTACTGCCATTCGCGTAGATTACTTAGCCATATAGCAACGGGCGCTATGCACGAATGAGAGGCATTAGTGTGCAATCGTGTGTGCGGCGACGGCGGTATTTGTGCGAGACGGGGTGTACGTTATGCAGAGAGGCACCCCCAATAGAAGAATGTCGTTGCACTGTCGCGTCAAAGGGGAACGATCTTACGAATGTCGCGACTATTGTCTCGCTGACTGCTCGAAAACGGCTTGATAAATACCGTTTTCCCGCGAGCCTTATAAATCCTCCCGGCAGCAGAATAAAGCAGCGATATCCGCCGCGTTGCCGTGTTTCTTCTTTTTATTTTTTTTCCCCCCCTCCTATTTTTCTTCACGAAGACGAGATTGTTATTCGCGAGGAGAACAATTCTGCGCATCCCCAACGCGTAATTCTCATTAATCGAGTTATCGTTGTTCCGATGTGCGAGGCATCTGTTCCGACACACGCTCTGAAAACGCACTGTGAAAAGTTCAGGGGTCATTAGCCATTTGATTTAGCTCCATGATAGATTCATTCATCTCTCCCCCCCCCCCCTCTCTCTCTCTCTCTTATCGATGAAATCGTCGTACAAATAACAATAATAAATAATAATGAACGCGATATTCGGAGGCACGCGTCAACACCGAACAAAAATTTTCGCCACCGTAGCTAATCATGATTGGCTAAAAGTATTTTGCTGCATTAACTACACTGAAACGATTAAGTTTTTTGCTAGCGTAATCGTGGTTTGCTTAAACTATTTCGCTGTCACCAACGGTAAATTTCTAAACTACAGCAAACCGGCTTGCTGTCGCACCTGATACAATAGGCACAGTAGCCAAATATTTAACTGTCACAACTGGATATTAGCTGTTCATATTTTACAACTGAAATTTAGTCGCCACGTGCAGTTTTTAGCTGCTGTAGCCTCACTTTTCTTTCCGTGTAAAACTTTCTAAAGCACAGCAAACGGTCTGCTGTCGCGTTTAATACAATAGGCGCAGGTAGCAAAGTATCAGCCGCCAAAACTAACTATATTAGCTGTCCATATCTTGCAACTGTTTAGCTGCCACATTTTGTTCCTCGTGAATCTAATTACGCCCGTTTCTGTTTGCAGCCATTGAGAAAATGGTAATACGAAAATACAATATAAGCGAGGACGACTTCAAGATCATGGAAACAGTGGTGCTGAAGACGGAACCTCACAAAGCTGGCCAACAGTGGAAGTTCGCCGGCGCGTTTTATTACGCCACAACGGTCCTCACCACGATAGGTACATGCTGCAAAGTTACCCCGAATACCGGCTCGGCTGTTCAAACCGAGTTTATTACGCGTAACTACCGCTGTGTTACTATCCATTTGCATCGAAAACCTGCCCCGCTAACTCGTGCTCTGGCGGCCGCCCAAATGCGACAGTTTGGAAAGAGCGAAGTTTCGTTCGTCTCCTTTTTGTAAATACGAGGAACGAGGCATTTTGTCACGCTCGAAATTTCTCCGCATCGCTTCAGGCGCCTGCGCCAAATATTGTTTCCTTCATCGACCGCGAAAGATGATTTTTCGATTCTACGAGCTTTTGCGGCGAACGACCGTGATTTCGAAGCCGAAAGTAATTGCCGTAGCAACGCACGAGCGAGTCGTCCGGTGTGTTCGCCGAGGTCGATGCGTTTTAATCGATTTAGCCGATTTTCATCGTGACAGAGGACACGCGGGCTCGCGTTGCGGTTCCGCGCGAAACGTCGCGATTACATTGACGATCCGGGGTGTTGTTTTCCGTCGGTCGCGTTGCAAAAGCTCAAGTGCCTTTGAAGCTTGTGCCACATCTCATTTTATATTTCACAGGTTACGGACACTCGACGCCGAACACCATATACGGCAAATTGTTCACGATGTGCTACGCGATCATCGGTATCCCATTAGGACTCGTAATGTTCCAGAGTATAGGAGAACGCTTGAATAAGTTCTCGTCTGTCGTAATACGGGGCGTAAAGACGCTTCTAAACTGCAGGGACGTCCAGGTAACAACACCTTACGATTAGCGCAATAGCTTAGCCACGCGTCGTCGGGGTTGAACCAGACGGGGTTCAGGCGCGACCCATTCCCGAGGGAAATACAAAATCGGCGGAATTTCCTTGCAGCAGATTACATTAAAAGTTAATTAAACACGCGTGAAATCCGCGGGCGACGAGAGCGCGAGCTGGTCCCTTACTTTCGAAAACCGAAAGTTTTGCAATAGTTTTATTGCACGGTTCCCGATAGGTTTTTTTTAGAAGTAATTCCGTTGATTTGGAAAAAAGTGACATTTGAAAATACGCGGTGCTAACTTTCCTACAGAACTCACCTGGAGCTGTAAAAATCTGTAGTTGAAATGACTTTTTTTCACAACTCGAGGCGCCCTGGGACGTGAGCACCCCATATTTTCAAATGACGTTTTTTTTCTCTCTTCAAATCAACGGAACTGGTTCTAAAGCTTAGCGGAAACTGTAGAACTAGTGCAAAGGAAACTGTTAATAAAACTTTCGGTTTTTGAATACGGGCTGCCAAGTTCGCGATTCGCCTTTCTATTGAAAATAGCGGCAAATGTAGTGGAACTGCACTAATGCAGATGCGAGCCGTAACGTAAGAACATAAGGTGAAACATTTGCGCAATGGCGGTTGAAGATGCAGCAAGAATCAATTTTTGGCGCAAATCGTTCGTCAAATTATGTGCAGTGACTCGCAGTTTTTAAGGTTTCGGATGAATTTCTGACTGGTCAAAGAATCGCTGTATCGATTGGACGAGTGCATCCGCGGGAATGTTTCACCTTGTATTCTTACATCATGGTGCAAACTATTGAATTATAATCGATCCGTTTAATTCATTTTATGCATAATCTTGTAGAGGATCCATTTCATCAATTTTAAACAGAATCGCGTAGAAGCTACGAAATGTAAATTATATTGAATTTTACTAAGTTATTTATATATTACAGGAATTAATTTTAATACTAACTCTGTACAAGTATATAAAATCATCGCAGCCTCGTAAGTTCATGTAACATCACGAATTATCTACCAACTAACGGCCAGCTGACTTTCTTTCCAATCGAAAACTATTACAATATTAATTGGCGTGGCGGATCTACATGTATTTCCTCAATTTCAAATCGTTTGAACGATATAATCTGATAGTTTCCCCTTGGAAGTATTGAAGATAAAATTATTCGAGTTGTCCTTTAAGGCCATTCTACAATTGCGTAAACGTGGTTGTTAGCGGTTGTAGAGTGTTGTAAAACACAGTTTTAATCTAGCATTTCCGATTGTAAAGCCTGTTGTAAAAGATGGTTGAACTTCATCTTTCACGACTACAACGACGTAAGACGTAAAAATTAACCGATCATTCACTTGAATTATGACGTATCTCACTCTATTGTATATTACTTTAATATACAACACTTACTACTACTTCTACTCCTACAACCCTACAACTACGTTTACGCAATTGTAGAATGGCCTTTAGACGTTCATTGTGACAATGTAGATGGTAAATTTCGACTTGTAATAATTGAAGAAACTTGAGGAAAGATTCCTCGACAAAATCTCTGAAAATTCGAGTCTTTTTAGAGACAGATATCCTTGATATTATTAAATCTTGTTAATTAAAAAGTGCCAACAATTGAATGGTTTACGTTGCATTATAACTAACACGCAACGTGTTGCAGGCCTCGGAGATAAATCTCATCTGCGTGGTAACGACGTTGTCGTGCCTGACCATCGCCGGCGGCGCCGCCGCGTTCTCCAGGTACGAGGGGTGGTCCTACTTCGACTCCATCTACTACTGCTTCATCACCCTGACGACAATCGGCTTCGGCGACATGGTCGCGCTGCAGAAGGACAACGCGCTCAACAAGAAGCCCGAGTACGTGATGTTTGCCCTAATATTTATTCTCTTCGGCTTGGCGATCGTGGCGGCCTCGCTTAATTTGCTGGTTTTGAGATTCGTGACTATGAACACGGAGGATGAGAGACGAGACGAAGCCGAAGCGTTACAGGTACGAGTCCAGTTTCATTTGTCCGTATCCCTGAGATACATACGTTCATCCATCATTTTGTGCCTCCGAATATTTAGTGCTGGTTAAAACAATCGTTGCTCTTTTCGTGAAATTGTACCGTTTGCGGTAGAAAGCTTTTCCATACACCTCACCTCGCTGAGCGAAACGAGTAGCGCGAGGCGTCCATCACTGAGAGCTGAAAAACAGTGATGGTTGTAACATTTTTCCTCGTTTTTAACTTTTAGTCTTTCTTACAGTAACCATTACGTGCCACTACAGTAAGCAATCTCCCAGTAATCAGTACGGATTTTACAATAACTATTACGGATTCTACAGTAATGAATATAGATCAACTGATTGACTGTTACTTACTAATCCAGTATTGAATCAGTACTGTATTTCCACAATCATTACGATAAAAACCAGTAATGGTTTTGGTACAAGATTTTATTGAAAATAAAAGAACTTTTCAACTAGTTCTTTTTTCTAACTTTTTTATATGTGGGATTCGAGCCTAAGATTTCGGATTACTAGCCTAGTACGCTAACGCTGAGCTAACTATTTATATATGTTTTCTACCCTACTGTTAGGCTACATATTTACATATTATTTTAATGCTGGCGGTCAACAGTAATGGTTACGGAATTGCACATCACTCAATAATAAAATTGCTCAGTAATCATGTTTTCTTTAATACAATATCGCTTACAACTTTAGTCGTTAGATGGTATTGTATTTTTCAGCAGACATTACTTTTTTTTTAAGTAAGCATTTGCGTATTAAGATTAAAAGTTGAGAATGAGCAAAAATTCAGGGACTATTACAGTTTTTCGATTCTCAGTGCACAGATTAAAGCCAACGGCACACGGCACTAATTTTCCTACTGGATTTCTTGCAAGACGGTGCAGAGTGTTAGATGATAGGCGACTTGAGGCTTAAGTCCCGATTGGCACTCGCGAGCAATCCAGTGGGAAAAATAGTGTCGCGTACCGTAGGCTCAATGAAATAGCATTGTTAAACGGACATTTCATTTCCATTGCGACGAGCGTCCGGCTGAACTGCCGACAAGCGTACTAATCGAGCGTCTTCGCGGCCCTTCTCTAGGCGGCCCAGGGCGCGGTGCGTCTCGAGGGCGACGTGATAACGGCCAACGGCTCGATACTGTCCGGCCAGATCGGCAATCACGGCAACGCGATGTCGTTGGACGACGAGGCGTCGGTGTGCAGCTGCCGCTGCAGCGGCTTCCAGAGGAAGCGGCGGAGACCGCGTTTCACGGTGCGCCGCTCGCCGGGCAAGATCTCGCACTTGCTGCCGATGCAACAGCTGTCGTCGGCGTCGAGCCTGCGGGGTGGCGAGCCCCAGCCGCCGCTCACCCCGTTGCTGCCGCTGCCGCCGCTGTATCAGCACCGCGCCAGCATCTGACGTCGTTGCTCTGCCGCGCGGAGCGTGATACTCCTCGACGAGCAGCCGCATCACTACCACGATCAGTCGCGGCGTGTGTCCGTCTGAAGGGAGCGCGTGCCTCCGCCCGGCAGCCGGCGACTTCAACGAATTTCAATCGTCGCCGAGATGCTATCATCACCGCTACGAGTTCTCTTTTTCTCGCTCTCTCTCTCTCCCTCCCTCCCTCTTTCCCCCCCCCCTCCCTCTCTCTCCTCCTATCTGTCTTTCTCTCTTCCTCTCTTCCTCTCTTCCTATTTTGCGTTCCACTCTAGTCGAGCACGAGTAAGATTTCGTATAGAGATAGTCGAGAGATTGGGATCGGTTAGAAATTGAATTGCTGGAACTGTTCGATCCGGATTGTGACACCGGAGTAACGACGGCGCCGGATGCTTCTCCTCAACGAAAACGTTTTGTCGCGCCTTGTCGCGACGCACGGTTCTTTCACTCGCGACAGGGCCGCTCTATTCGTCCGAGTTTAATTCACGCGCGTGTATAATCGGGCGTATTAGGATACTCGATGTGCAATGAATGAATTTCCGATGCGCCATCATCGGGTACGGAGTGAGAATTCGACGAGTGAGAAAGCGAGAGAATTGGCGCTCGAGATGCCAGATAATTGGCGCTCCAGATAAAAATGGCTGTGTCGTTCGCCGGCATCATTTAAGTGCGACGTGCGATGAGATTCTATACGTGTGATAAGTCGTAGGGATTTTCTAGATTTACTTTTAGTCTGTAACCAACTATTCTTTGTGGCCAAAATTATTATATTTTCCTCGAGAAAGAAATACTATACATGTGTAAGAGTATTTATGCCGGAACAGCGCGTGTCTGTCGTGAAAATTGATGCAGGTTCTCGCGTCTCCCTTTTACATTTACAATTTTCCCTCGCCAGCGCGAGATTAATCTCTTCTCGATAAAAACATTCGGTCACATTCCGCGAATCTCGAGTGAACACGAATTTTAGACTCGCATTTCAGATCTGTCTGCTACGGCTTGGAAACAAACAAAAAAAAAAGTACCGAGCGGTATAATCCTTCGCTTCTGATATTCTCATACTTAGCCGTCTCCTAAAGATATAATAGAAACGAGAAATGTGGAATCGCGTCGCAGGTGCGATTACGTGGTGAACCGACTTTGAGAAGACACGCATGTACAAAAGGCTGTGCGGAGATAAATTGTGTACCTTACAAGAGGTGCTCGCGTAGATACGTGAGAAACGCCCGCGTGAGAAGGACGAGAGGGAGCGAGTGCAAAAGGGGTGCGAATGTCGGTGTGCGAGGTCGCGAGCGAGAGTGCGTGTGGGAATGTCGTTTGTGTGCGAGGATGTGAGAACGCGCGAAGAAGGAAGAGAAAAGAAGAAGATGCGAATGCCATGTGTGCACCTATACGTTCACGTTCTCGCGGGGGAGAGAGAAAAATATTAAGGAAATATATAAATACACACACACACACACACACACACACACACACACACACACACACACACACACACACACACACACACACACACACACACACACACACCGAAAGAAAGAGATGTACACAAGACCGACACGACTTTTTTCATTAAGAAGACATTTTACAATTTGTACATATAATATAAAGTACGGGGAGAAAGGGAAACTACGACCTTAGGTATACGACACACGGGGCGTTCCGATCTTACAGAGATATATAATTGTGTATAATACATACGTGTAAGATACGTCACATCACGATTATTATCAAGCGAGTTCGCGAATACGTGATATATAAATATATATATATACATATATATATAAATATATCTCCCAAAATTTTCGACTTTCCATCTATTTATTATTTAAGTGCAGATCGAAATTGTCGAGGTGGCCGCGGCCGCATAGATTTGTAGAATTCAGTAGGTTGCCGTAGGTCTCCTGGGATACACGAACGGGCGCCGACACGATTGCGGGTAGAGAAAGAGAAAGAGAGAGAGAGGGGGGGGGGGACGACACACGAAAGTGTGCGCGCGGAGGGGAAACAAGAAAGAGAAAAGAAATCTCACGCGAATTCGCTACCCACGAATTTGATCGTTTATAGTCTACCTACGAAGAGTCAATCCATCGAAAACACGAGACAAGTATTTCCCGGTAGATGCGTTATCATATTATAGGATGAACACGAAGCGGAACAATTCTCTTGCCTTTTATCGAGAAGTAGAATCTACTCGGATATTTTTAAGACGTATACTGGGATTGTGCACGTGTGCGAGTAGCCATACGTAGAGGACAGTTTCTTTATCCGAACTGGATGGTGTACGTACGCGGGAGAAACGCCGACCGGTACGGCAGCTCTCTTTTCCGTGGGAATGTCCCGCTTATTTGAAACACTCATGCGACGCGTCTTCGTCACGGCATACAATCAGGATTTTTCCAAAAAGCCAAACAACTTTTGAATCACACGCCAACAATCGGTGGTTACTGAGGATGTTCATCGTGACCAAATGTAATTTATAACGCTGTACATATACATTTCAGATTAACGAAAGGCTGCGGCGCGCGCGATCCTGCCCGTAGCCTCGCAGTTTCTAAGTGGCGTACGCGTTTAGACGCTTGTCCGAAACTCATCTGTGAAACTTTGAAAAACATTTTCCCCCTTTGCGAGAGCAAGCGCGATTACGACGAGACAGCCGTACTTGTCGACCGTTTATCAGTTACGCCATTTCACTTATGAATATCTTACTCTATGAAAAAAAAAGATGATAAGAACTGCTAGAACTTACTCCGGTTTATTACCATTAATTACGGCGAATTAAATCTGTAACATATTATAGGTAGTAACGTGAAAAAAAGTAACGCGATCGCGTAGATCGTACAAGATTTTTATGAGATAAGGAGAGTAAATGAAAAAAAAAGACAAACTTAACGAAGATAAATTAAGCGAATGCGTAATAGCATCTTGTATTAATCGATAGTCGATGTAACGTTTATTTTATCCGCATCTCCTATTTGATCGCATCATTTCAATTCGTTTCAACTAACAGTAACGTTCGAAACGACAGGTATTTTATTGTTCGAAATGACCGACGTTACCCATTTGTTCTTGAACTCCGTAGTTCATTATATAGTTCATTATCGGACCTTGCTAGAGTCTTCACGTAACGTAAATGAAATTTTGAATAATCGGATATACAATTTTTTTAATTCTCAGGTGAACGGTCATAGCGTCTTAAGATAATACAAAGATTATATACACTTTCATATAATATTTTGTATTTATTGTAACATTCTATAAAAGGACATAATTGAGCTTATAATATCAAGGCTATAGAATTAGCTGGGAAAGAAAAGGCAATTTCTCGTTTGCTTTCGATCTCGAATTATTAAGTAGGCAAAACTGTCGTCGACAGGACGTGCAGAATATTACTTAATTTTTAAGGATAGAAACAAAACACGCGATTTCATTTGTAATATTCCATAATCACGTGGTTGATCTAGTATCTCTTGATAATCCACCAAGTTATTTCTCTCGAGATGTGCTTGCCGAAAGTTTAACGTCTAATGGAACATGATTTCGCTGCTAAGAGTATTTCCTATTCGACGGCTATCCAGCTAAACGTTTCGCGAAACAACAGACATTGAATGGAATGTGTTCACGCCGATTTTAGCTAAAAAATGCAGAGTGAAACGATGTATTGTGAATGCAACGTTCGAAAGAGAAAACAAAAAAGATATAGAGATTCAAGTAACGTCACTGTAATTATACCGCAGTGCCATAATTTCCTGACGTACATTTAAATTGCCATTACTTGTATTATTTTGATAAAAAAAAAGAGTATGAAAAATGAGATAATAAAATATATTTAAACGTTAACCGATCTTGTTTTGAGCAAAAGAGTTTCGTTGTAATATAATATCTCTCTCTTAAACGCCGATGAACAATTAATAATAATGCGGAGTGACATGGCGAATATAGTTTATGAACTTATAAGATAGTCTACATGCAACTTCCCTATTTTTGTGAAGAGATTAGTCTTGATCATACTATATAAGGGTGAAGCCAGAATTTTATTTCACGCATTATTATAATATAAATGGCCATAAAACTGAATATGAAGTTTCTATTGATAATAATTGTAAATTGTCAAAGCGTGGCGCGTGTTTCGTCACGAGAGAATTTTTATTAATTGTATATATATATATTATATATATAATATTATATATATAATATTGTAATATATAAAGCGCATTTCTGTCTAAGTCTTGGGACGCTTTGCTTCGCATCTAATTTGACAATCTTCAGCACGCACCATTTAACGACGATCCACATGGAATTTGTAATTATATCGAGTGTTCCGCCAGGATTTTGCCCATTTACCGTTTCCATCTGTAGCGTAAGTCTTAGTGAAGTCGCACTCTTTTCACCGAACGTCCCGAACGGCGCACACCGCGCGAGAAGAATCGAATGATGGCGTGGAACGATGTCGAAGTAGATCGAAGCATACGTGACACTTCTTAACGTACTTTCCCACTTGATGTTTCGTCGTTCGGCTATCTGAGAAACGACCCGGTGTGAAAACAGCCTGATCAAAGTGATGTCAAAATGCTATCAAATTGATGAGGGATATGAGTAGTCGAAATAATGGCAAAATGATGATAATTTGACTGCAAAACGTCCCATGCCTTGATTGGTGATTTGCACCGTCATTTTCATGTTTGTTTCATGTCAAAAGCAAACAGTAAGTGCCCATCTACAATAGAGATTTAAATCCTAAGCCTTAAGAAATTGACTAATCACAGCCGCGTATTCTATCTCATACTTGACCGTGATTGAATTTCTTAAGGCTTAGGGCTTAAATCATTTATTGTAGATTACCCGCATTACCCCCCACACAGCACAGAAAGATTGCAGGAAGATTGCAGAAATGTTACATTGCAAGATTGCAAGATTGCAGCAACATTGCTGCAACGTTTCTGGATGATTGCAGCAACGTTGAAATGTCCGCCCGCAGAGAGATTGCAGTGCAACATTATAGCAATGTTGCAGTGCAATATTTTTGGAATAATTTGTTGTTGTTGTACATAAGCAGAGAATTTACTAATTGCATATGCATCCGGGCCTTTTTCAATACACAGCAAGCTATTGCGAAGCGACCTAAGGAGATTATGTCGCTTCGCAATAGATGGAGATTGCGAGCAACACCGCACTGATCAAGTACTTAATAATTCGCGCATTACTGGTATCAACGAAAATAACATTATAAAATTCTCGTAATTAGAAAAATTTTTTAAATAGAAAATACAGTATTTTTATTATTTTTGAAACATTGCTGCAATATTGCTATCGAAAGTTTGCAATTTTATATCCCTGCAATGTGTCCGCAAGATTGCAACGTTTTTGCAATGTAACTGCAACCATCTGTGCTGTATGGGCCCTGGTCCACAATCTTGCTTTAAGTAAGCTGTAAGCCTTAAGCCGTAAGAAATTAACCAATCACAGGTGAGAGTGAGGGGAATAAATGCCTGCGATTGGTTAATTTCTTACGGCCTAAGACTTAGAGCTTACTTAAAGCAAGATTGTGGACCAGGGGTTATCCTCTACAGGAGTTAATGTAAAATTAAAAAAAAATTATATTGAGACGAGGGGAAGAAATTAATAGATGAAAAAATAAAAATCAGAGATATTGTCGAATATATCTTTAGTTGAGATAAAGGCGAGCGATCTATATACTTATAATTTTAGGGGCTCTACCTCTAAAGGGGTATGTGTGACAAGGTACTCTCGGTTGCCGCTTCTCTCCGAGAGGTGGCGTCCGAAAAAACCAGCGGTGTCCGCAGCTGGATTTGAACTCGGATCTTTTTGTTCGTTTATTTACTGTGCAGCGCACATTTCTCTACGCTTGCCACACAAAATTATATTGAATAGGAATACATATATTTAACATGACGACCCTAAATAAATCGTAAACTATTTGCTCTATGAAAAAAATGTTCAAACGCAAGATGAAGGATGTATATGCAACAAGTCAAGGAAGTATCGAAGAAACTTATA